AATTTCTGAGAAAAGATTTAATGAAAAAAAAAAAAAATTCTGCTCCGTGTATAAATAAACACAATTATTATCTCAGAATTTTTAATAATTTTTTACAAGGAAAAAAATCTGGTCTTGTTTTTCTGAATTAACAAGATTGTTATCTATGAGGTTTATCTATCCAATGAGTAGTGATGGCTTTACTTCATGTCAAAAATAGGAAAGGTTATAAAACAATATCTAGCCTCTGTTCGGTAGATAGTATGCACTCTGAGAAAATTCAAAACATTTTGTGGACTAAAATACTCCAAGTTGTTACTAACAGTGAACTCTTTGCCATAAACTTTTAATTTGATATTATGATTAAAAAAAACATGAGGTGTTTTTGTTTTTAATTAGGATGTTGTGGACTTGAGCGTGTCTACATGCACCTTGGAATAATTTTGGCATTCAGTTTTCATCCAGTTCTTTGGCTCAGATGATGGCGGTCTAGAGAAATGTTTGCTTATGATCACATGCAGTTTGAAACAAAGAGGACTGTTGTAATAAAGGACTTTAAAAAAATGCCTGTCAAATAGGCCTGAAAATGTACTGATTGTACTATAAGACAGCTTGATGCCACACAGACCTTTCAGTCTTTTAAAGTGAAAATTGGACCCCTGCCTAAAAATGTTAACACTTAAAAAAAGCCACAGCATCATGGCTGTTGTCTAACTAACAGTTATTTTTAAAAAAATATCCAGAGCCTTTTTTACTTGAACCAGGTGTAAATAAAACCCAGCCTCTGTACTGTGACGTTATCTCAAGTACTGATTGCATGTAAACACAACCACTGCAAACATGATGAGCATCATTTGGACGCTGACAGGGCTGTGAGAAGCCAGATGTGATGTGCAGAGTGTGAAGGCAGGATGGGGATCTGCTTTGGGTTTATGTGCTTGATATTTTAAAGTAAAATTAAAAAAAAAAAAAAATACTCCCAGGGTGGGCACTCATATTCTCACTGCATAACGAGGTTTATTTTCAATGCACTATATACACTTTATCTTATGTGACTGCTACAATATAATGTGTCATCACAAATATTAATATGATTATATAGAAATATATATTTTTGGTTTTGACTTAATCTTTGTTAACCTCTTATGGTGCATTGATTATTTAACACGTGTTTGTCTGAACTATCATGTCATGTACAGGTTGATCAGGGGAGACAATGCAATACAATGTATGATAATATAAATAAAAGCATGATAAATCTGTAATCCTATTTGTCTGTCTTTATATGACTATTAAAGAAAATACAGGGATAAGTTTGGGTCTAAACAAGAACATTTTATTTTCCCCCTCCCAGAAAAAGAAACAAGTTTAAAATCATAAACAAAGTTTCAAACAAATCTTAAATCTTGCCGCTTCAACCTGTTGCTATGTACATACTGCACCAGCTCATGGCTGGAGATAAACGTATAGACATTAAGCTGCTACTGTAATCATAAAGATAATAAAAAGAGATAACATTCCATTAAAACTATAAACATGATCAATATTTCCAGGCTAAAATTATCAAATAGGATCCACACAGTTATATCGTATATGTGTAAATGACTAGAAAATCACTTTTTATAGTAAAATAGAAAATATATAGAGGTACAGTATAAACATACAGTAATTTGGCCTTTTTATGTATTCAGGGATATTTACACAGAAAGAGTTCAGACATATTACAGTTAGATAAATCACTGTCTGCTTCAGTAGAAGTAGCCTCTATAGTTTGTGCCATTTTGCATCCCCAGAGCTAAATAACAGTACAGAGTGGATGCAAAACAGGTACAGATAGAAGCTACGACATTGTTTGAAAGTGATTCAGAGGTTGAGTGATCGTGTCTGATGCAACGAGACATTTGGACTCCCTCGACATGAAAACAGTCATAGTAAGTGGCACAGGGATGCAGAGCAAGTCACGGCTCTCAGCTTATGAATTTCATTTTCAGGCTGTGGTTTAACAGAATAGAAAATTTGTACTTGTTTTATTATAGCTGATTATAATGACTGATCATTTTGTTGCAGGAGTGATTTTAATATTTTCTGCACTTTATCAAAACTGGTTACCATTGGAATTCATTGTTAAAGGAACACTTCACCCCTCAAATGATCTTTTGTATGTCAATTAATCACCACCACGTGTTATGTTGAATTAGTCAAGAAATCTTTATCTCGCATGTTTCCACTGTGAATGAAGAATCCAAAAACTGAGAAAAGTCTTAATGAATTGAAGTCATAGGTTTCCATGTTTAACAACAGCAAACTAAATCAAAACATCTGTTTAAAAACTCTCACACAACTCATGCAATATAATCCAAGTCTCATTTATACAGTCATATGCTTACAGTAGTACTTCCCAGTGGAGACCTAAACAGGAAGTGAAACTTGTCTATGCTCTCTTCAAAGCCAAACTCAATTGACATCAACAGTAATTTCACTTGGCTGACCACAGGAGCTGCTGGTCTACAGCTGCCTTGATCAGTTAGTTTGTGTTATTGTGTGACTATTGTGTTATAAAGGGATGGATTCACCAAACTCACACAACACTACAAACTAACTGATCGAGGCAGCGGTAGACCAGCAGCTCCTGTGTTGAGCAAAGTAAAATTATTGTTTTTGTCAATGGAGTCTGGCTTTGAAGAGAGCATAGAAAAGTGTCACTTCCTTTTTAGCTCTGCCCTGGAAAAGGCTCTCTGTTTGGGAAGTTTGTAAACAGGAGTTTTGACATTGCAGCTATACAAATGTTCTATAGTTTGTTAACAATAATGACTGTGTATGCAGTGCTCTTAGATGCAATGTATTGAGCCTGTTTTTATTTTATGTTACTGTATTTTATTATCACTATCATTCTCAATTTCTATTTCCCTTTTTAATAATTGACTGTTTTTATTGTTTTAAATTGTGTCTTGTTGCTTTTAATGTCTCTGTAAAGCACTTTGAATTACCTTGTGTTTAAATGTGCTATACAAATAAACTTACCTTGCCTTGCCATTGTTTTGCTGTTGTTAAATATGGACCCTGATAACTTTAATTTATCAGGAATTTTCTCTTTTTTGGATTGTTCACTCACCATGAAGGCAAGCAAGAAAAATGAAGTTTTCAACATAAATTCAGCTTAACACGAGGTGAGTAACTGATAAACAAATGGTCATTTGGGGAAAAAAGTATTCCTTTAATTGACATAAATTTAAACTGCCACCTGTCAGATCTTGTGTGGAATATCCCTTTAAATCCCAGATTGCATCTTTTACAAAACATTTGACAACATCTTATCTCCTCTCCAACTTTTACGTACGAAAGTAACGAGCGCAACAGGACTTTAAGAAAACAGAAAAGAAACAAATTATCACAGATCATTATTTTGGCATATTAGTCACACAGTTGTATCAAAACAGGTTTAAAGTACAATAACATGAATTACAAAAGGCACAGGGTACCAGAGACAGATAAACAGATAAATTCAACAGCAGTAAATACCAGCAGTCAATATACTGTCACGAGTGAGGCCTTAGGAGATTTTGGTAATTCAAAATATTTCTCTATATAAGGATGTGTGGTAGTTTGAGCCCCAAAATCTGCTGGTTAATGTGCAGTGCATAAAAAATGTAGGACAAGAGATTAGGAGAATGTAATTTCCTGCATTGCTTCTTTTCTTTTTAACAAGTCATCTTGTTCTTTTATTTGTAACTAATTTGTATAATTGTATTTTTGTTTTGCCTATTTTCCAATTTCTATTTTTAATCATATTTATTTCTTTTTCTTTTTATTTATTTCTATTTCTTTTTTTATTTCTTCCTGTCTTTTAGAAGACAGGAAGTGATTTTAAAAAGGCAAAGAGACCACTAATTAAAGAAATAAATGTTAAAGAAAGATTAAAATAGGCGGACGTTATGAATTTAAAGTAGGTCTGTTATTGGAATTAAATAGCTGACTCTTTCCATCATTAAGAAAAATAATTTCCAGTGATAAATTATGAACTTTTTGTTTTTTTTATGTGTGTTTATATGAAATTCATTTAGTTTTTAATGAAACCCCTCAAAAGGTTTGTGTTGAAGCTCTGCGGCTTCAGGCTCCATGCTGACCAGCAACAGAAACACAGATGGAACGTTTGTAGGTTCTTGTTGGAAAGGCAGTGAAGCTTTTTTGGTACCACTTCCTCATAATGACACTGTTGTAAAGGACTAATGACTTTATTTATGGTTAATAAATCATGTTCTGATGCTTCAGAGATCAGTTATTAAGCCATTCATTAATAAATGCACATGAGGTTTTTACTTTCTAATAAACCATATAGAACAGTGTTATAATTTTACTAAAAAGATTTTGGTCCATATCATCTAAAGCCCTTTCTGACCAGTCAAAGGGAGTTTTCACAACCTGGCAACACAACCATTGCTTATCTAAAGACGTATAACTGATCTATAAAGAATAAGTAAATTATTTATTAACCATTAATAAGAATAAATCCTTTATAAATGATGCCTCATGAGAAAGATACCTTTCTCTTTTAAAAGTTCACAGTTCACCCAAAATTAAAAAACACATATTTTCCTTCTTACATGTAGAGCTATTCATCTGTTAAGATTGTTTTGGTGTGAGTTGCAGAGTGTTGGAGATATTGGCTGTAGAGATGTCTGCCTTCTTTTGGATATAACAGTAGTAGATGGCACTCGGCCTGTGGTGCTTAAATGGCCAAAAAAATAAGCTTCCTTCTATGCAGTGATATGGTTGGTGGGTGTAGTTCAATAGAAAGAAAATAGTTCCTACATGAAACTGCTCACAACAAGATCTTTATATTATCTTGAGTACCCGGGTCATGATTTCTGGAAAGAGACATTGCTTTTGAGTTTGAGTTGTCAAATTTATTTTTGGGCATTTTGAGCACCACAAGCTGAGTGCCATCTAGTTCCATTTCATTTGAGAGAAGACAGACATCTCTATGGCCAATATCTCCAACACTCTGCAACTCACACCAAAAATAAAATAATAAATAGTACTATGTTAAAGAGGGAAAATATGTATATTTGATTTTTGGGTGAACTGTCCCTTTAAAAGGACGCGTATGACCAATTGGCCACTCTATCTGACATGATAGTCAGTCTATACTGGTGTGAATTCTGTGTATGTGTGTGCATGCGTCTGTGTCTTTGTCTGTGTTAGTGTGTGTGAGTGTGTCTACATAAGTGACTCCAAGCTCTCAGCGATGTTCGTCTGTCCCAGTGGTACAGATCCATTGGTTTCTGGACTCTGCAGGGCTCTCTGGTCTTCCTGGCTGCTCACCAGACTCAGCACTGCTCGGTACAGATACTGGTACTGCTCCTGTGGGGGCAAAACACAGCTTCAAGATTCAACCATCTGTTCATATTAAAAAATTTCCCCTCATCAGCTATTGTTGTTTTCAATTATTCAGAATTTCACTGGTGAACGGCTGAGGTGAAGTTGCTTCTGTAATTGTCATTTTTCATTAAGTGGTGACAGAGAGACATGGAAGTATGACAAGATTTTTGTGTGTGTGTGTGTGTGTGTGTGTGTGTGTGCGCGCGTGCATGCTTACAATATCATTAAAAACCCCAGGCCTCATGAGGTTGGTCATCCGTGCCACCTGGTAAACATCGACTGCTCCCTCCTCCTCTAGCTGACTGGACAGGGTGGTGAGGGCACAGAACAGCCCTGATGTAGCACCTCCCAACCTACACACACACACACACACACACACACACACACAAACACATACAGTACAGGCCAAAAGTTTGGACACACCTTCTCATTCAATGCGTTTTCTTTATTTTCATGACTATTTACATTGTAGATTCTCACTGAAGGCATCAAAACTATGAATGAACACATGTGGAGTTATGTACTTAACAAAAAAAAGGTGAAATAACTGAAAACATGTTTTATATTCTAGTTTCTTCAAAATAGCCACCCTTTGCTCTGATTACTGCTTTGCACACTCTTGGCATTCTCTCCATGAGCTTCAAGAGGTAGTCACCTGAAATGGTTTTCCAACAGTCTTGAAGGAGTTCCCAGAGGTGTTTAGCACTTGTTGGCCCCTTTGCCTTCACTCTGCGGTCCAGCTCACCCCAAACCATCTCGATTGGGTTCAGGTCCGGTGACTGTGGAGGCCAGGTCATCTGCCGCAGCACTCCATCACTCTCCTTCTTGGTCAAATAGCCCTTACACAGCCTGGAGGTGTGTTTGGGGTCATTGTCCTGTTGAAAAATAAATGATCGTCCAACTAAACGCAAACCGGATGGGATGGCATGTCGCTGCAGGATGCTGTGGTAGCCATGCTGGTTCAGTGTGCCTTCAATTTTGAATAAATCCCCAACAGTGTCACCAGCAAAACACCCCCACACCATCACACCTCCTCCTCCATGCTTCACAGTGGGAACCAGGCATGTGGAATCCATCCGTTCACCTTTTCTGCGTCTCACAAAGACACGGCGGTTGGAACCAAAGATCTCAAATTTGGACTCATCAGACCAAAGCACAGATTTCCACTGGTCTAATGTCCATTCCTTGTGTTTCTTGGCCCAAACAAATCTCTTCTGCTTGTTGCCTCTCCTTAGCAGTGGTTTCCTAGCAGCTATTTGACCATGAAGGCCTGATTGGCGCAGTCTCCTCTTAACAGTTGTTCTAGAGATGGGTCTGCTGCTAGAACTCTGTGTGGCATTCATCTGGTCTCTGATCTGAGCTGCTGTTAACTTGCGATTTCTGAGGCTGGTGACTCGGATGAACTTATCCTCAGAAGCAGAGGTGACTCTTGGTCTTCCTTTCCTGGGTCGGTCCTCATGTGTGCCAGTTTCGTTGTAGCGCTTGATGGTTTTTGCGACTCCACTTGGGGACACATTTAAAGTTTTTGCAATTTTCCGGACTGACTGACCTTCATTTCTTAAAGTAATGATGGCCACTCGTTTTTCTTTAGTTAGCTGATTGGTTCTTGCCATAATATGAATTTTAACAGTTGTCCAATAGGGCTGTCGGCTGTGTATTAACCTGACTTCTGCACAACACAACTGATGGTCCCAACCCCATTGATAAAGCAAGAAATTCCACTAATTAACCCTGATAAGGCACACCTGTGAAGTGGAAACCATTTCAGGTGACTACCTCTTGAAGCTCATGGAGAGAATGCCAAGAGTGTGCAAAGCAGTAATCAGAGCAAAGGGTGGCTATTTTGAAGAAACTAGAATATAAAACATGTTTTCAGTTATTTCACCTTTTTTTGTTAAGTACATAACTCCACATGTGTTCATTCATAGTTTTGATGCCTTCAGTGAGAATCTACAATGTAAATAGTCATGAAAATAAAGAAAACGCATTGAATGAGAAGGTGTGTCCAAACTTTTGGCCTGTACTGTATGTGGATATAGCTTTCAAAGAATGAACAAAATGTAAGAGGTGATCCTGTCTAAATAGTACTCACGGATCATGCACGACTGTCGGACTGTCTGAATGTCTGCTGTGCTCTCTGACTGTGCTGACCAGATCAAAACTGTTCCTGATGGGACTGTCCGGGTTGGGCCAGCAGGAGGCGCTGTACTGACGCACCTCCAACACATAATTGTTCTACACAGAGTCAAGTGAGAAAGAGAGCAGTTTCTTTGCTCTTAAATTATTGCCTTTAAATGTTTATATACAGCATACTATGTGTGTGTGTTACCTGTGGAGAGTCCAGTGTAAAGTCCTGCACCAAAAGCCTCTCGTCATTGGACAGACACACATGCTCCTCCCCCAAATATGACACAGTGAAACCCTCAAAGTTCAGTGGCTGGTCTTTACTGGGCCAGTAAACACACGACTCAGCCTCTTCACTCTGACACAAACAGGAAAACATGTAAGACTGAGTGTTTGTATACAGTTGTTTTATAAGCACTCTACAGAGTATGTGTGTGTGTGTGTGTGTGTGTGTGTGTGTGTGTTCTACCTGACAGTGTGTGTCTGGCAGACGGACAACAGTGTGTGTGCTGCGTTCCCAGATCATTCTCCAGAAATCTGCGACCGTGCTGCTCAGAGGAGTCTGGCTCACTATGAACTCCTTGCTGTGGTGATGTCCCTGTGAAAATACAAGCAGCATTAAACTGTGAAGTGTACTGTTGCTGTCGTACAAACAGCACAAGAGCCCTTTAACAAAAGTTGCCATAGACAATCCCCACTAGTCTTACCATGACGTAGGAGGCATTGATGTACCCTGTGGAGTTTGTCTCTGAAGTGGTCAGACACACTCTTGATCTTTCCACTATATAAAAACACAAAGACATGAGTCATGAACCCATTTTCACCACATGGGTAACCAGTCACAGCAGTGGTCATATGTCGTGCACCTCAATCTACCACTGACTCAAGGGTGTGATACTGTGTCATTTTTGATCAGGCTGTGGATGAAATGAAACTTTCACAGCTCTCCCCCTGGGCTAGAAAACGAGCCGTGCTTACCAGGCATCAGAGCTCTGGCCCTGTTCCTCTCAGCATTGCCGTCTCTCAGGGCAGTGCTGTAGTCTGCGTGCTTCGCCTGACGCTGACTGATCAACTGAAACACAACAGAAAGAGTCTGTTACATTTGCAATATTCAAAGTGTTGGCCAAGTGCCCCTAAAATGTAAAGGCCAAACCCGAGTGCAAAACAGAGGTTTATAAAGTGTGTGTGTGTGTGTGTGTGTGTGTGTGTGTGTGTGTGTGTGTGTGTTTGTGGGGGGGTGGGGGGTTCATGCTATACCTTGAACTGTTTGTCCATGCGTGTCCTGCCTGACGCCCCAGGGATCAGAAGGTCAGACACATAAGTGTGGAGGAGGTCAGAGGTCACTAAGGTGCCACGGCTCAAGATGGCCTCCACCAGAGTGTCATGGATGAACACGTACTGCTCCTACAGGAGAGCGACAGATGGAGGAACAGAGACATAGTTTGTTATCAATAAGGACTGACTGTATGGACGCCACAGTGTGTGCGTGTGAGTTTGCTTACCTCCGTCTGAACCAGGAAGTTCCTCTGCGTCCGGACATGCTTTAAGAAACCAAGGACGTTCACTGTACCCTGATCCTGGATCTGCTGCAGCATGCTGTCAATCACGATGTAGGTTCCTGTCCTTCCTACACCGGCACTGTGACACACATCACATGATATTGCATATATGAAATCGTAGATCTCTCGTCTTCGGTATTAAAGAAGAATCTGTCACACACACACACACACACACACACACACACACACACACACACACACAAAGTTTACCTGCAGTGTACCAGTACAGGTCCCATCTCTTGTGTTCGCGCCTGGGAGGATGCTCTGATGAAGGACAGCACAGGCAGGGTGTATTCTGGGACACCCATGTCTGGCCACTGGGTGTAGTGATAATGAAGGACTGTGTGTTCAACTCTCCTCTGAGAAGCCTGGAGGACCAGAAAGGGTGTTATTATGTGTGTAGGAAAACACCTAGTTGGAAGTGAACCTCAAACTCACTTTGGACAGTCAGTGTTGTTTATTGTATATGTGTGTTGGACTAAGACAGGGGGAGTGTGTGTGTGAAGTACCTTATTTGTAGTGTCTCTGACAGTGAACGTCCGCAGTGTGTAGTAAGCGAGGGTTTTGCTGCTTTTCAGGGTCACCTGGTAGGGACCGTATTCCTCCTGGTTCTCCTCCGGCCAGTACTGGTCACATTTTGTCTGTAGACAGACGACAAAGATAAAACAAGAGCAGATGACCAACAGAGATGTGTGAGAGAACAGTGGACATGTTCCTCTGTCTGAACTGATGCTATTGATGTGGTCCTTTTGTCCCTGTGAGGGAGTTGTTAGGAGAAAGAATAGTAGAAAGAATAATAGAAAGAATAATAGAATAGTAGAAAGAATAATAGAAAGTTCTCTTTTCAGCATGTCACAGTTTGACAAGAAATAATGTATTGTAGCTGATGTAACCAATCCAAATCATAAGGAGGCAGCAATCACACAGTACTTAAGTGCTAAAAAGAGGCTTGGCTCCTCCTGTTAGCTGATTATGGTATGCTGAAATTTACAATTTCATAGCAAACATTTTAAAACTGATATATGACGACCTGCGGTGACACTGAAAACTTAAAGCTGTAGCAATCAATATTTCATATGAACAATGGGTCATATGATTATGGATAATATGAAAGGGGTCGTTCATGGATACAAACCAACTGAGAATTATCACCTCTGCAGTTACCCTCAGCTCTATGGAGCATTTTATCCTCTTTAAGCTCAGTGTTTCAGCTTTACAGACAGCATCTGTACTGTTCTGATTGAGTCTCACCGCTCTCTCCAGCGGTGTTTTCAGCTGTAGCAGGCAGTTGTTCTCAGCTAAAAAGACAGTGGGATTTTTGGGACTAAACTGACACACATCCACACTATTTCCCATTTCTTGTGAAATGTAATTAGAGGGAAATGAGGAAAAGTAGCTAAGTTCTAGGCAGAAACCAAATTGGCTGATGCAAATAAAATATACACATACCACTACAGAAAAACTTCCTTTATGCAAGTCCTTTATGTCCTTTTGCATAAATGCAATTGCATTCTTTTGCCTTATTATTAAAATCAGAAAATTATTAATTATTAATTATTAAACTAAAACTCTCAGGTTGGGAACCCATAGCTTTATGCTTATTTGTACCTGTTACATTTAGTGTTCCTTGAAATATGACCCATGCGTTTTGACTGTGGCTGAAGTTATACCTTAAAAACAAGTCAGTTTCTAGGGATTCCCAGGATAGTGAGCTTTTGCTCCCTGAACAGAAAATGTCTCATTTTCCTCAGGAGTAAATGGAGACTAAACAGAGGTACAACAGAGTGAATACTGGACTTATATTTGCCAGGTGGACAGAATCACGATGCCAAATGAATGCTAGGATTTCTCTGTTTACTTGTTGTGCAAATAAGCTGCTGTTCACTAACATGTTTGACTTATCAACTTTATAAAGTTAATTTGAGGACTAAAGAAAGACTTTTATGCTTGGTCCATCCTAATTACTGTAATTTCAGTTACTGTGCATCCCTCTGCTGACCAGTGGTGGAATGTAACTAAGTACATTTACTCAAGTACTGTGCTTAAGTACTTTTTCCTCCATGACAATAATAAAATAACTTCAGTTACTTTACAAGTTAAGATTTTTGCACACTAAATATATGAAAATATACAACTGCAGCTGACACGATTAGTTGATTGATTAGAAAATGAATTCATAACTATTTTAATAATTGAATTATTTTTCATGCAAAAACATTTTGTGGTTCCAGCCCCTCAAATATGTTGGCTTGCTGCTTTTTTCTTTTGACAATTTTTAATTATTTTTGATTTATTAGAGATTTATAATTTTCTGCATTGAATATTTTTACTTTAATACTTCAGTATATTTTCCTGAGTGTATTTACATATTTTTACTTAAATAACATTTTCAGTGCAGGACTTTTACGAGGAACAGAGTAATTTTACAGTGAGATATTAGTTGTATAATTAGGATCTGAATACTTCCTCCACTGCTGCTGCTGACAGGGCATTCACAGCATCACACGTTTTGCCGTTTGTTTTTTTTTGTTCTGTTTTTTATGTAACGATACAGTGCAGAGACTCACAAATTCCATTTAAGTTTATTTAAAGCATGCTGATTTCACTACTACTACTCAGGGGGTGTTACCTATGCTAATAGGGTACTTATGATCAAGTGGGATTCTTCATTCAGCATGAAGATTTGGATGTGGTTAAGAATGTTTGGTGCATCTAGAGTTGACTTCTCATGCTTTTTTCTCTTCACAGAAAATTGAGAGAGAACTTAAGAGCATGTTTCTGCATGAGGACCAATGTGTCATCTCACTTGTATTTTTAAAATTGACACTTCCTCCCTCCTGACTGTCACTGACGAGTCAGAAAGCACTAACTTGAGATAAGTTCAATTTAAGATACAGTTCAGTATCTCATTTAGATAGCATGAAGGTTAGAAGGCATCAAAATTAAAGTGAGATGTTTACATTGAAATAAAAACATTTCCAAACTACAAAAACTCTAGCTTGATGATAAAAAAATACATGAATACTCAAATTGCCGGATGTGCAAAACCAGATGTAACTTTACTGATCTGTGTGGAGAAGCTGGTGTTTGTCCTACCCGTCCTTTTTCCTTGAGGTTGGTGATCATGACAATAACTCCAACATTCTGCTGCCAGATCATCCTCCAGAAGTCTTCCCTGCTCGCTCTGAGAGGCCCCTGAGCTGCGATGTATGCTCTCGTTCGCTCGTAGCCCTGCAGAGGAAACCGCTGAATATAATGTACAGTAACAATAGTGGAAAAGACCCACCTGACTGAATCTATTTCTGGTTTGGATTTTACTTGGAATACACTGTGCTGTGTCAGTCTGCCTATAAACATGCAAGACTGACAGTAACATACTTACATCTACAAAGTTAGCATTGATGTAGTCTCCACATTTCCCGTCTCTGTCCAAACTGTTGGAGAGTTTGACTCTACTGTGATCATCTGAGAGAGGGAAAAAAGGTCAATCAGCTTCATCACTGCTGCCTTTCACAATTATACACTCATGTTATCAGACTGAACAGTGACGTACAGGCCAGTATGTTTATGTATCTGTTCTTGCTTTTGTTGTCAGGGTGATTGGAGCTGTCAGCAGTGATGCCCATGTCCACCGTGCACGCCTGTACTTCCTGAAAAACAATATAAAACACAAATAAGATTTAAGTTAGTCACTCAGAGAAAGCTAAACATGCTAATTAGCACAATGAGCACTGGTGCCACTGAGTGAAAATGAAATGTGGTTGTTCTTCTGGACAAGTAAGGTTTTTGCTGTATTTATTTATATTCTACTGGTCTATAGTTTCAATAGTATTACGATACAACAGTCAAGTGACCACAGTGAAGACAAAACAACAAATAAATTAGCACTTGTGAATGATGTAACAAGAATTAAGATTTGTGTATGGAGAAAACATAAAAAATTGTGAAAGAAAGAATATCATATATTAATCCCTGATTCATATTCAGGAGAAAAAGCCATAATACATGGTCTGTATGTGGCCTGCATTAACGCCTCATATTCAGTAAAGATGCTGGCCAACAAGCAGCTGCTTCCTTGAAATGTCTATAAATCTCTCACATCTGAAATACAGATGCTATGGTCTACAAGCTGACTGGTTGGTCAACAAATGGGCAAACAAGCTAGACCTCATTTTGAACAAAACTCAAATGTTCCAGCGTTGAAAAGAAAGAAAAAGAAAACCACACCTCTACACTGTAGGCGTCTTACCTCATAGGATTCTTTGACAATCTAATGGAGGGTGGTGAGGATGCAGAAAGCACGACGATGGTGGTGGAGGCGGTGAAAGGAGAGTGGGAGGGGGGGACAGGATGACAGACAGACAGACAGACAGACAGGGAGTCAGTGCAGGTACAGGAATATGGGGTTCAGATACACACAGAGAGGCGGTGCTACAGTAAATGGGAAATACACTGATATTACCAACTGAGCTGCAGACTTGTAGCTTTCAACCATGTTAGCCATTTCCTGTTACACTGTTAAATATTACGGCATTGTTTACATTATGCAAATACCGGAAAAATGTGTGTGTATCTACAAGTCAAGGCTGTGATCTGCCCACATGGTCCTATAACTTTGCCTCTTTTGTCTTTAAATGAGAATTAGATTGACCTAAAATGTAGGTTTGTAGAAAATGCAAAAACACTACAACAAAATGGGAGAAGCACACAAATACCATGACAGTTACACGGGAGAGGTATATTTAAATTAATCCTATCTGTGTGTGTTACTCAGGAGGCTCATGCTAGGAAACAGAGGTGACTAATGTCATGCAGATGTACTCATTGTTGAAACTAATCCACAAACTGTTCTAAAATACATACACAACATCAACCTCCAGAGACCTGAGCTTTTGTTTGGTATGCATTTTTAATTTCTTCTAGCTATTTGGGATTAGTAGAACCTGATAATCATATCTTTGAATAGTGGTTTTTGAAAAATTATGTCCTCATATAGGGACATTGGGTTTATTCTCAATAACTATTAAACTGTTTATTTCAATGCCTGACCATTTTTGTGCCAAAACAAAATGACAAACAACGCAACATTTGTTCAGTGTTTTGTAACTCCACGGATTAGGGGTCACTGTTCAAGTCTAAAGCTGTTCACTGCAATTCCTGAACATGGCTGTGCAAATGCAAAATTGCAAATAATGCAACAAATCTAAAAGCCTTATGATTTGTTAGTTTTGTTACTCTGTTAAATTTCCCCTGCTTCATCCTCCAGTGTAGGAAATTCCTTTTTGTCTGTAGAACAGTTTGTCACACCTAATTGAGTGAAATGCTGCAATAATACACTAATAAAGTCTGATGTCCTCAAACGAGTACTTTAACTAACAGCATCTTCACTTGTTACTGTTGCTAAAATTGATGAAAATTGTATGCCATATCAAACTACAAACTCCCTTTATCATAAATAAACAAGTTTCAAACATGAAATGTGACAGGTTTTATAGCTTTTCCACTTTTGTGTCACGATTGGCTGGTGACTGACTTGGCAGAGATGCTGCCATCTTGTTTTTACACTAAATCGTGTATTATGTTTTTGGTACCACTAAATGGCATGTGAAAGTGTCTATAAACAAGGACAACAGGTTTAACTTTAGCAGAATATAGTGGAAGGTGCAGCAATCCCAAAACATAGTGTCCTAATATGAGGATGCAGAGTCGCAGGAGGATAAGATATTTCAATACTCCACATGAGTCATTTCTCTGGTTTTAAATTCAGTATGCGCAGAGATGAAGACTTTACCAGCCTAAATCTTATGAAGGGAGGTTTTTATCGATTAAAACCTGCCTACTGAATTCTAAATCCTGACTTAAGTTTCTTATGTTTGCGTGTCTGTGAGGAAAACCAAGTAGCACTGCCATGGTTAGTAGCAAACACCCTTCCTACATACTGTTGCACAACATGTTTTACGTGGAAGTAACAAATTATCACATTGCTAAATGATACCCCTGGAGACATGATGTTAATAGAGATATGGAGGAGCATTAAGGAGCTATGACAAATGGAGTGATCTCTTTATTTCTGTGCTGGTTAAAGGGGCTCTATGCGAAATTCAGAGTACATGAGTTGTCTGGACAGGGTTCTCATCATGAAGATAACTGAGCCTGCGGCTAGCAGCTGACAGTGCTAACTCCATAAACAGAGCTAAACAAAGGCAACAGTGCTGACAGAGCTAGCGGTGTTAACCAGGGAGAAAACAAAGAGTGGGTGCTACTCTTCTGCTACAATGCTGTCCCAATATCAGTGGTAACTGCTGCTTGAGCGCAGTGCAACGCAGCAGCAAAGAGCTAGCCAGTTGGATACACACATGCACGAACATGCACACGCAGCCAGACCATCGTACCACAAGAAACCACAGAGAAGCTCAGATTAAAACACACACAGAGGGAGCGTAACTTCATTCTCTGCTCAGGATGCCGTTACTTCATTGTATCTTAACATAGCAAATACAAATATGCTGCTATATTAATGCTCTGAATCTCATATACAGAACTTTTGAACCTTTGAAAGCCTTGGTGTGCTTTCAAATTGTCTTGTGGCTGTCTATGTTCACCTTGTGATAAAGGCAATTGACATTTAGTTCAACTTAAATATTCCAATCATTAACATTCAGCGCACCTCAAACTCCTTGGAGAAGGTGTTGGTGGTGTGCAGCTCCATCACATGCTTCACAAACTGTTTCACTGTCAGTGGCTCGTGACCATCTGCAACAAAAGAGTGAATGTTTAACTGCATAATTTATATTGTGGCTAGATAGCACATATCACAGTGATAACTTCTTTTTAGTGTGTGTGTGTTACCTGTGGCCAGCAGCAGTGGTGTAGATGGAGCTGAAATGACTTTAGGTGACGCGCTGTCATCTGGGTAGAAATTAGCTGCCTGGAAACAGTTTCTGTGACACAAACAAATCAAAACCTAAGTGAAGAACACAGGTGAACTTGATTTAGACACAATATTGACCTTGCATGTGTGTGTACCTCCAGTAGACGAGTATGCCCACTAGTACCAGCAGACAGAGTATGGTGAGAGTGGAGACGACAGCCAGAGGAACAACTGTCCTCTTCTCCCTCTCCACACCTCCAACCAGGCCGACCCGAGACTCATGGCTGCTGTTGCTGCCCTCTGAGAGAGGAGACGCGAAGAAGAAGGATGGTGTGTGTTGAGTGAGAGATAGAGACAAAGGGGGATAGAGAAAAAGAAGGGTAGAGTGGGGGAGTGTCACATAACACAAAGATCATGTCAGTATAATAATCTCTACAATTTTAGTTTAATGTAAGTTTATGTATCAGGAATTCCACAATAATTTAGCAAATGTGGTAAGGTTGTTTGCAAGAATAATTTTTTTAAGTTTAATTTATAATGTGTTTTGATCACAGCAGTAATTCAGTCTGTGTCCAGTTTATGACAGTTTTCCAAATTGCTAAAAAGTGTCACACATTAAACTGCTTCTCCTGGCCAGCTGGGGACAGCACAACACCTTATAAAGTTGATATATACACTTGTTTATTCAAGGGTGACATGGTGTTTTTCACCCTGGCCCCGTTTTCCCATGTTTTTGTGTCTAAGTGACTAATGAAGACAACAATTTTTATAACTGGTCCAGTGTTGAGTGAGAGACCTGCAGCCAGTAGCGGTCAAACAGGCTGCAATGTAACCACTCTGGGCATGTTCGCAGCATCAATTTATGTCCACTGCAAGTGCTTGTTTTTGCTACTGACAGGCTCAGATTGTCGATATAAGCGTCTGACAAATTTTTGGAAAGGATTTTTACAGAGATAGACCTTTTTGTTAAAGGGTAAGATCCTTATTTTAAACAGAAACAGCCCCAAAATCATCACCAAAGCCACCTCCATTTAAACAGACAGTAATTTTAGCATGTATAGTGCCCAGATATTTTCTAACTGGGTGAATTATGGGTTTATTTCAACCAAACCAGGGTTGGTGTTTGTTGGAAAGTGGAAAGGCGAAAGAAAAAAAAAAAAGACTTTCATGAGATTTATTTTGTTTCTGTCGACTTTGAATCAAGCATGTTTTAATAATGATTTAATAGAGTGTACCAGGAATGAGTCCTAAAACCCAGAAATGAGTTAGCATTTTTGCACTCCCAGTTCCTTTGTTTTGAGGTGAGTTTGGTTAGATGACTAAAATACAGTCTGTGGTTAACACAAGCTTAAGAGACTTTTGTGCTTTGTTCTACGACATAAATTACGCCAGCAAATATCCCATTCATGAATTTTGAAGCTTTTCTGTGTCTTAAAAAAGGCGCTTGCTAACAAGTGGCTAAATGGGACAACAGAATGTCATCACGCTGAACAGATATTAAGTTATTCATAACATTAGCTTCTTACTTTTGCCGATTGCATTAAGGCTTCAAAAATCATACAAGTGGTGTTCATTTGTGAAGATTATTTTGCTGAACAAAACATGAAGGTATCATTAACTTTTGTTTGCCAGAGCTTATTCTAGCCAATAATCCAAAATCCAATGGAAAAATGTCATAGGCTTTTTGACAAAGGAACCAGTGTGATGCTGACTTGCGCGTCAGCCTACAGAAAACCATTCATCCCTGGAGTCTTCTTTTAGTGTTTATTTAAAAGTAGTCTGGTGGCTTTGGAGATAACAATTTCAGGGTTGTTTCTGGTGAAAGAAAAAGGATCTTACTCTTTAACAAAAAGCTCTCTCTTGGTGGGGATCCGTTCCATAACGCTTTCAGGCATTTAGAATAATAGTATGAGCCTATCACTGGCAAAAACAAGCACTTTCTGTGGACATACATCGTGGACATACATAGCGTGCTATTGCAGCCTGTTTTGTGGCTGCAGGCTGCAGCCCTCTTATCCAGTACTAACCCTGACTTCAAAAACTAACTCCATTAGTCACTTCCACACAAAAAACATGGAAAAATAGGTTTTAAAATGCTACAGTCATCCCTTTAACAAATACAGCTGAAACTGGACAACATTAGTATTCATCTACAGGTACACTTTTGGCTCCCTGGTCTAATATTCTAAGTCTAATATTCACTTTGCTTTTAGCTGTGTTTGGGAGCTCTGCCAGCTTCTGAGGGGAAATCTGGCTTTTTAGCTGCCTGCTCCACTGTCTTCTTTAACTAGCTGCTAACCATCTGCGGTTTCGTGGTGTGCAGGTAGCATATAATGGGTTTATCAGAGCCCTTCGGCTATAAACTGCTGCCTGCTGTGGCTGTAAGAAAAGGCTGATTGTTGCAGATCCAAATCAATGAGCTGAGAGACATTTCAATGCTCTATAAAGCTGAGGAAGAATTGGTTGCTAATTCTCTGTGGGTTGATTACTATGATCAACCCCTGTCACATTACATGGAGTCATTTCATCCTCTGTTAATATAAAAACATTGATTGTTACACTTTAAGTGGTTATAGCAATAACAGTGTTGTTTGTTATAAACGTCTATCCGGCCACTGTGGCAATTGTGGCTGAATGGCCTAAACAAAGAGTTCCACCTCACTCAAACTTTAGCAAACTTTGACATACTGTACCCTATGTGTATGAAAAGATGAGAGAAGGGTAAACTACACAGCTCTGGCTCTCTGACAGAATGCAACAGGGCAGAGAAAAAGCTTGACATTGAGAAACATTTACCTTCCATGTCCTCCTCTGTGTCCTTGTTGCCATCTGTCAGTCTGAGCAGAGGGACGAGACGCCCCAATAGGGGACTTCTTTCAGCATCAAACAACAACCCGTCCACATTTGAGAACTGCTCTTCAATTACATCTGCATCTCTTTCCTCTTTACCGCCTCCTTCCTCGTGCTCCTCACTCTCCACACTTCCATTTCTTTTACCATCACCGTCTCCCTCTTTGTTTTCCTCCAGAGTAGAGTCAGCACCAACATGACTGTCAAGACTTATGTTTTGTCCCTCTTCATCATGTCCATCACCATCACTATTTTCTTCACTACTGTCAAACAGAGGGAACTCTGCTGTAGGTTTATCTTGACTGACAGACAGCTGGCGACCATCTCTTCCCTCAGATGCTTTGTCTTTGTTGCAGTCTTCCCCATCATCACTTTTGTTACCACTTTCCTTTTCACCTACAGCTTTGATAGCTTCTTTAACATCACTGACTTTCTTTTCCCTTCCTTTTCCATCTTCTCCTCCATCTCCACCACCCTCTCCAGAACCACTGATGTCCTCAGGCCAGCTTAAAACTCTTAAATTGGACTCAATTTCATTCCCACTAACGGTCTTAGTGTATATTGTCTTTCCTACTCCACTCTCAGCTTTAGTTTCTTTCTCTTTCTCTTTCAGCCTGTCACAGCCCGCTGTGCTATTGAGCTGTCTGGCACTTTCATTTGTTTCACCATCCACTTTCCACACTCCCTGATTCCCCATGTTGCGTGCTCCTTCTTTTTCTATCTTTTCTTCTTTCTCACCACTTAACTCACTTTCATTCTCCTCCATTTCTTTCTCTACTACTGTTTCCCACTCTTTCTTGCTACTTTTGCTTCCAGTCCCATCTGTGTCCTCATCTGTTTTTCTATCCATCTTAATTCTTGTTGATCGACTATTTTTCCTTGTATTATCCACCTTCGAACTTATAGTTGTACTTGGAATAGTAGAAAAGTTAGTCTTGACTGTAGCGACTTCATCAAATTCCTGATTGAGCCTGTCATTATAAAGGCCAGAGCCTGATCCACTTCCCCCTGCTGTCCAGTCTGTGTTAGATTGCTCTGAATCATGAGGATCGGACAAAGTCAGACCTTTAGAGTCAAACAAAGATGTGACTGAAGTGGAGCTGTGGTCGTCCTTGTGTCTATTCGTCCCGGCTTCCTCTTCATCATCGGGACGTGACAAAATTTTTAGACCATCTTGAATTCTACTGTCAGTATTTGGGGTATTTCTTTCAACTGTGTTTGTTTTTGGTAAATCGATAGTACTCGAGTCATAATCAGACAGCACAGAAAGGGAATTCTTGGTGATCAGACGTTCCCGAAAATCCAAAGTAGTAGAAATCTGAGGGTGCGCTAAATCCATTTGTAGATGGACAACAGAGTGCTCTTCAGAGGACTTTTTATGATGAAAGATAAGGCCACTCCTGTTATCTTCAGGGAGGGCCGGAGTTGGACCGAAACTGATGATGTATTCACTAAAAGGGTTGGGGGATTGATGTTTGAAAAAATCTCCTTCAGCAGAGCCCCCTTCAGAGACAGAGCCTGCAGGATTTGCAGGGTTGATGATCACTCCAGTAGAAGTGTTTGGTGAGTTTGTTAAGCCAGAGGACAGGTTGATGGTTGAGTCCTCAACTTTAGACATGGGTGTATTTGCTGTAAGAAAAGCCAAAGTAAGTCTGAAAAAAATGCTGGATGCCAGCATTGAAATGTGCCAAGAAAGATGGAAGAAAAAGTAAGAATTGAACCTTCCAGGTATGGCGCACATGGCAGTGAGAAAGACAGAGGTACAGAGTCTTGACTCAGCAAAGGCAGACTTTTTGGTCATCATCATGCCCACAACTTACACAAAATACAAGAAGAGAGCTAAGACTTGGAAGTTGTTTATTAAGTTCCAGAATGAAGAGATGAACAAATGACATACCTTCAAGATAAAATGAACCCTGCATTTTGTGAGGATATAAGAAAAACCAACCACCAGAGTGCGCCATTGAGCCACAGAAAAGAATGCAAATCCAGAAGAGGAGTCCCAAAAGTAGATGCTAATCACCGAGCCTGAGTGGACTCAAAATATGACCTCATGTGAAGTCGAAACATGCTGCGAGATTTGAGGGAGAGTCAAGCATGTTTAATTGCTGATCCGGTTCAGAGAGTTGCTGATTATCATTCTAATCATCATTAACGCCAGCTCATTCTTTTCGATCATCGTTATTACCACCACCACTACCAGCGTTACCCACATCATGCCACTATACAACATGCCACCAAGATCACAGAGCACAGCAGTGATTAGTCAAGCAGCAGCAGTGGGCTATTAGAGGAGAAAGGCAATCATCCACCGCAATTAAGTCCAGCTGTCTACCAACCACAAAAAAACATTTATCTATATTGCTGCTGTTGTGTGAAATCCCTAATAATATATATTCATAGTCACTTTTAATTGGAAGTAAACATTGTACTTTTTAGAGAACATAATATATTTCTAGGAAGGGTTTCTAAGGTGTTTCATCTTACCGTTAAACATGGGCTGGGTTGTGTGCATCAGCACCCTGAGAAGAGAGGAGGTTGTGAATGTTTTGTAGACAGACTCAGCCAGTGTGTTGCTGGCAGTTGCCGCCCTCGCCGTGATCCAGACGGGGGATTAGGTGGAGGAAACCGAGGTCACGGTGTCTGGATAGGGTTTGTTCACAGGGGCATCATCATCTCCAGAGGACGACAGGGAGACTTTGTCCACTTTATCACCTGTGGGACAGAATGTACATAATGATGATATGAGACGATGCAATATGATACGATGTGACACATGTTGAGCCATGACACGGCATGACATGACATTGGCCATGTAATGATATGACACAACATGATATGTGATATAATTTTTCATGATGACCTAACGTGACCTAACGTGATGTCACAACATTATGTGACATTGACATGTGACATGAAATTACAGATGATCTGACAGCCACAATTTTATATAATGAAGGATGTCAGGTAATGGGACATCACATCACATGATGCATCACATGAATAAATGAATGAATGAAGTTTTTATTATTGTGTCATCCACACAAATAGCCTGCAAAATTCATACAAGCTACATCCAGAATACTGCAATTGTAATAATACCGAAAGTACAAAATAAAGAATAACAATTTGAGTAATTTCAAGATCATACATTTCTGACAAAATATTTACTGAATAATTCTGGAGATTTATTCAGCGTAAATACTAGTAAAATAGTTCAACTTGCCTTCTTTCATGGGCTTGTGAGACATTGTTAGCACACTTGTGAACAGCCATGAAAGGCAATGAAAGTAAAAGCCAACCCCAGATTCAATCGTTTGGTGTTTCGCCTCGCTATATTTGCATTTTCTGCGCTGTGTCTCTTGGATGCCGCTGCTTACAGTCTGGCACCTGGTCACTACCCTTTTTATAAAGTCCTGACCTGAGTGCTGTTGGGGAACACACGCATAAACGTCTTGAACACAGAAAATAAGAAAATGCTGGCAGAGTGTAAAGTCTCTGAATTGACTGAATTTATCATACACTTCTAGTGGGTCATAAGTGATGACTTAATTCCCATAAGTGATGAAGTGATGAGTCTATACATTGTTTTTGGGAAAATCCTGCCTCGTATATCTTTCAGTAGCAGTAGCTGTTCAAAATATTTATTTGAAAAACATAAAAAAATTAGGTATCAATCTAAATTTAAGCCATAATAAAGAAAAACACAATCTAAACTGTGTCAATCTGAGCAGAATCAGTGGCAAACGTCCAGTGGAAGAAAAAAATCTTCTGCTGATACCTATTTAAATATTTATGAACCTAAATTTCTCCCTGGCGCTGCTCAAAGTACCAACCAGAGATGTTTTTTGTAAACAAGAGTGCCAAAAAACAGAAAAATCCCTTCCAATAAAATCTGACCTGGCAACACGGCAGCAGCAGCAGCAGACACTGTTGCAGCAGAAGTGGTTGTTTCTAGTGGGAAGTTGTTGACTGTGTCTTCATAGAAGATATCTGTGACTTGCATGTCCTCCACAGGAGGGGTGTAGAGATCTGACTGGGGAGAAGGGAGCCCACTCTCTCCAGCTTGGTCTAGTGAACTGTGATCTCCTGACTGCAAGAAGAAGAGGCAGATTGCAAAAACATTGGGTTTCTTCAATTTGGACAAGGTTAAACTGAAAAAAACTAGTCTCCAAACAATTTTGCATTTACATTTTGTGTGTCAGGTGTCTGTTAGGTATTACATTTAATCAGGTTTTAAGGATAACACTGAGAGACAAGAAAAAGAAAACTTCAATGAACTACCTGTTGTGGCAACACTGACAGCGAGGCCTCCTCTGTGATTTGTCGGCGGATCGTCGGCAGTGTGGTCGTCCGAGCAACTGGAAACAGGAAGCCCGGCTGCTCTGTTACCTCAGTCACCCATATTGCACCGTTGCCATCAAAACCTGCTTTAGTGATTGGCCGGTGCGTTGGATCACTATCCTCGTAAATCCAGTTCTGATCCATATCATCGGGTTTAGACCTGCTCTGGTCTGGTTTCTTTTTTATATTCTGGTTGAGTCCAGTTTTCTGTAGAACAGCAGACTCAGACGGGGTCTCTGGGGTTGAACGGGTGCTGACCTGCACTGGGAGATTGTGGTGGTATGTAGGTTGGTTCTGGTAAACCCTGGTCTGCTCCACTGGGATCTCCTCCACGGGGCTGTGGTCGTCTGGAGAAAAATCCACCTGATTCTGGTTCTCTGGCCTCTCTGCTTTGGCTCTAGATGAGAACTAACACAAGGAAAAAAGCACTACTGTGTGGAGCTGTGGCACAAGATGTTTGGTTATATACTGTCTGTGATTATAAGGGACAGGCTTGTTGATGGAGAAACTAAAACGTGAGGGTTTTTATGCTGTCACCACCTCTTGTGTAAATGACAGAATATAAACATCCTACAAAAGACACAGTGTTGATGCAGTTGTTTACTTCTTTAATATTCAAAATGAGCTGATAATAAGGCATTAAATTAATCTCCATTAATGCAGTGTGGAAAAGCACAAGCTGTACTGGTTCTCTCAGTGAGAAAAACATGGGAGCCTTTTTTTGGTAATCTCTCCTAAAACACGCTGCAAAGTCTCGTATAACCTTTTGTACGGCTCTCCAAACACTCAGTGACAAGCCTCCACTGAGATAATTACAACAATTTGCATAATAATTAGGTTCACTGATATGACTAAATGCAGGGCAAACTTCAGCACTGCAAAAGTAATTCAGCGAAATGAATGCCAACATGCAGAGTGGTGTCAGGTGAAACCGCAGATACGGACCGCCCTACCTCCCTGGTGCCTTCCAGATCTTTTGCGACAGCATCAGGATCTGAATCACTTTCTAGAGAGAGAGAGAGGGGAAAGAAATAAAGACTTTCTTACAACTGTAATAAATGTAACAGATGGAGTTGGAGTTTTTTCCTTTGTCTGAGTGTGTGTTTGTACCAGGGTCCTCTAACGGCATGTCCACTATAATCTGGTCGCTCCATCGTCCTCTGAGTCCGTTGGTGCAAAACGCAACCACCTGAACCACATAGCTGCTGTTGGCCAGCAGACTGGGGATGATGGCGCCCTGTAAAGTCACACAGATGAATTTAAATTAGTGGTTCACAATCTTTTTATTGCCTGATGTAAACCAACAACCCCTATCAGATGAGCTCAAGTACCCATTTAAGAGAATGTTGCAATAATGATCATGGAATTGATGATGTTTAGGTTTGGTCTGCTTTTTTCTTCTCAATAAATTTTGCATTCGTGCAACTTTCACTTGGAGAGGCGGCGCTTGACTTTTCAGCCAGTGCTCCAGCACTTTTAACTGTCTATATCTATTCCTCTGCACACTTGCTAATTAATTTTCATGCACTCCCAGTCGCAGCAGGTGGTGTTAAGGTGTTACAGCTGCCTCCGGTCAGCGGGGGGTGCGTCCTGTGAAGCTGGTTTATAATAGGTGGTTTTGAGACAATAAATATACAAGATCAACATCACTGCAATTTGTAATCCAACATCAGTGTTTATTTTTCTCTAAAATGCAAATATGTGAATGTTGTTGTTGTTCTTTTTAAATAAATCATAATTACTTTTCTTTCATCACATAAGCTGAGCTATTCCAAAATCCTTCCATGACCCCTGGTAACAGTAGAAATACGCCCTGGGGTACAAGAACCAATGGTTGGGAATCACAGATTTAAATATCTCTGCTTTGGAATGTCTTTCCACTTTCAATTCACATTTATACATCATGTAATAATAGTTGTATTGATGACTGGTTGTTTTCCTTTTAGACGTTTTTAAATATTTTTAACACAAGTTATTGACAGTTTTGGTAAGGAAAACACTGCTATCCATGCTGTATTTGACATTTATGGTAAATTATCTTAATGAGAATAATATTTGAAGTTGCACATACGCCAATAATGATAGTGTTAAAGCTACCTCATGCTCATTTGTTTAATATGGACTTGAGTGCATCTCTATTAATGGTAATCAAGCCATGATCTAGTTGTAATTGCGTTAGCACAGTAATTGCTAATCTTAAAAAATAATTAATTATGCCTCTGGGTTTTTATTAGATGCCTTCATGCACATAAAAGGCAGGTAAACTAAATTCTCAGTCCTTCATTTGTGCTGTATGAGGGTGGTCTGAGTATTGTCGACTTGTAGTCTACATACATAGATGCAAAGGCTTGTGCAAATTCACACACTCAGACCCACAGACCTACATACAGATACATATACACAGATGGTGCTGGTCCAGTTATGGATGCTCAGTGACCTATTAAGAGGCCAAGATTGATCGTCATTATAAATCAATTGATTACTTTGATCAATCCAGATGCCAACAGCAGTCGGCATGTACACAGAGAAGTGAGAGTGGAGAGTGATAGAATTCTCATACATTATGGTCTAATTCATTCATTATAATGAACAAGTCACTTTATTTACAAAATGCACATATACATGCCCTGTTCTAATATGTTTAATAAAGGGTCCCAAGATCCTAAGAAACCTGGGGTGGACATTGGACAGAGTATCTTGAATTTCTTCAACGTATAGACAAGAAACAATGTCATTTTTAAAGCAAGAAGGGGGAACTGATTTGCACCCTCTCATGATCACCCTTTTTTGCTATGACAATACCAAACATGAGGACTTGTTGTAATGCTGGAGAAAGCGTCAAAGAGTATATAGAGCAAATCAATATCACAGAGAGACAGTCAGGGATTAATAAAAGGACCTGCTTGATTCTAATGGTCCACTTCTTAAATATAAACCTTTTCTTACAGAGAAAACATTTTCTATTAAGTTTAAGGAATTAAGCTTTGTAATCAAATCCATAACTAACAGCTTATTAGAGTTCGTGAAAAGCTATAAAAAGCAACCTGAGGTTCCTAGATTTTTTGCACTCATTAAATAAATGGTATTGACATCATGAGCAACTGTTGCACCAACAGACATATTAGGAAATGCTTCTGCAATACTAGGAAAACACCACCACAGGGAAAATCTTTTCAATCTATAATTTTGCAGGCATTAATTGGCTCAAAGCTTGGCATGTTCCTTTTAGATACCGTGATACAAATAAAATTAGAGAAATGCATCTAAAAATATTGCAAAAACTATTTATATCAAACAATTATATTTTATTATTATTTTGATAACAAATATAATTTACCTGCAAGACTGAGCAAGTATCCATCTGTTTTATTGTGGCCCATACTGTACTACATTTCAAAAGACTTTAAGTATTATAAATTGTGCAAAACAGCACATGCAATTATGATGGAAGGTAAAAAATGTATCATTTAATTTGAGTGTGATGATTAAAATGTATGCACTATTCTCAACTTCTTTATGTAATTAGGGAAATTTCATGATTCAATCCCATCTTTTTAAGATGTTTTTAACTGAAATTGATTTTATTTTGAGTTTTACATTTATATAGAAAAAAGCAAACTATGTCAGAAGCTAAAATTCATTGAGACGTGTTTATGCAGTCTCAAATGACCCCTTCTTTTTGAATTCATTGTTTATTTTATGAGTTTATTTTACTTAGCATTACTTTTTATTATTTCAAATACTTACTGATGCAACCATTACCTTCTGTCTTTGCCAGTTAAACTGGTATGACTGACTGTTTGAACTTTCTTTTAACTAAAAAAAGGAAAAAAAATACAAAACAAAAAAAGTTTGTGACGAAATACTAGGATACAGTTTAGACTTTCTCTGACTAATGATGTGAAATATTCCTAAAATGTTCAGAACGTTACCTTATACTCCAGTGTCTCTCTGACCTAATTTGAGCAAGGCTAATTAACATTAGCTAAATCTGCCATCTCCGGCAGATTTGTGTCCGTTTTGATGGACAAACACACAATTACAGGTGAATTCAAAAAACAAGAACAATGGACAGAAATTCCTTCTGTCTGTGTTTACTCTGTTTTGTGATCAGTCAATGTAGCCAGCAGTCCCCTGATAAGCGCTTGATAAAACTAACACCCCTGATAAAGTTATTTTAAAGCTAATTTGATAACACTAACACCCAGCTACACTGATCCAAAACCAAACAGAGATAAGAGAGGTTCATTTTTTAATTGTAGGGGCCTTGTCTGTACTCTTGATGTAGCATTTGTTTTCTTTTTTTATTTTGAAGTTAATCGAAAGAGCATTGAACAAGAAGACAATGAATACGTTTTGCTTTTTGAATAAATTGCTGGAAATTTAGCATTTTTTCTTTTTATCAAAATTCATTATTCAGAGCAATAATCAACAGATTAATCGATTATCAAAACAGTTGTTAGTTGCAGCTGTACATATGGGTGATGTTTGTTTTGTAGAGACATGTGAAGAGATCTTTCATACCACGTCCTGGTCCCCGTCTGTCCTGTACTCCTGCTTGCTCTGGTCTTGACCCTGCAGCCTCTGGTAGGTGACGGTGTACCAGTCGATGGTTGTGTCGTAAACCACACGGGGACGTTCCCATGTCACTACGATAGTTGTGTCGTTCTGGGCGTCAGCCTGAACGTTCTCTGGCTCCGAGCTGCAGGCTAGAGATGGCAGATAAAGAAAAAGAGGGTAAGACTGGTAGAAATTCTGAATATTATTAGCATGCCGAAAACTCAATTAAAAAACCTGAAAGAAGGAGATACAAAAGACAAGACATGGTACAAATGCAAATGGATATCTAAATCTGAACAGCACTGAAATGGTCTGTCACATCTCTCTTTTAGTTCAGTACTGCTGAAGGTAACTTGATGTTAATCGACTGTATTGAAAATGGAAGAAAATAGGAATGCATTTTAAAAAGCCCAGCTCAGGAGGTGAGTGTGAGGATGAGTGGGAGGTGTATGCATGTGTGTGTGTACGGCTGCATGAATTTGTTACAGGCAAAAAGACCCTTTTCTGAATTTCTGAATACTTTATTTCAATTTCAAAAAGAGCTGCAAAATAAATTGCCTGCACTGAGAGGAGCAGGAGCACAGAACTACAAAGTCGAGCTCCCTGGCAACCCAAAAGACCCACTTTACTTGAGGGTCGACTTTATGAAGATGGAGAAAATTATATCTTTTGATGATTCATGACGAGGCTGACCTTGGAGTACAGTGTTAAAGCTACAGCGAAGGCAGACGATGGGCAATATTTTCAGTCATGGAAAAAAATAATGTTTAATAATGTAATCCAATTCAATTTTCTTCGCCATGCTGCCAAGAATTTGGTCTCTTCAATAGCTGAAGAGATTTGAGCCTGGGAGAAGTGGGAATTCTGGGTTGATCTCTTTAAAGCCTAATAAGGAAAAAAAATCTCATAGTGCAAAATCCTAACATGCTGTATCTGCTCAGAGTTAATAGCACTGTTGATCAATACCAGTGTTTCAGCCAATACTTGGCTGCTGAGATCTCTGCTAGTCCAGGCTTACCTCCTGGCCTGTTTTACAACTAAAACCCTCTGTAAGAAGACAAGTGATGGTGCACGACTTATCAGCTCCAATTCTAAGAAGTATGGCATCAAATTGAGCTCAGGGGAATGCAAACATATAAAAATATTCTATAAATGTGTTATCTACAACATGAATGTGAACCCAAAATCGTAACCACCAGTCATGTAGCACAGTGATCAGTTCTCATAGTCCACATAGCAAGCTGTGAGATGGCCTATGGGCACGAAGCCCGCCCCATTTCAAAACAGGCTCAGCACCAAGAAGAGCAACTCTAAATTAGAGTAACTAGAACCGGAGATTTGACGTTTATTCACTATTTTTGCTTAAAAAATAATTAACACGATTACTTTCAGCTACCTATTGTTCTGTCAATCAACTGATCAATTAATTGACTAATCGTTTAGCTTCTTCATTTTTCCTGCTTACAATTTGGGACTTACATTCATGTTTTAGAAATAAAATTTACATGTGTTTTTTTTTTTACATTTACATTCCACTGAGTTGAATTAGGTCCCATTTAGGAGCTTCATTCTCCAGCCAAGACACCTGCATCTTTGAGTGCAGTGATATACTGTATTACTGCTGAAGAGATTTCCTCTAGTGTCAAAATGCAGCTGTCATGGACCAATCTTGGAACCCATTGGCTATCGTTCTGAAGATGATAAGCCCCTGGGGGCAACGGCAAATATTCTGGGATGTGTAGCAAGCAGTGTCGGGGCAATGATTTCCTCTTCCAGAGGCCGGTCATTCTGACTTATCTCTATAAACAGATATCTACATAGGAATCCAGATACGTTAAAAAAAAAGCTAATATGAAACTAACTAACTGTTAAATATCTACACATGATACATGCAATAATGTAAATAGCCTATTTATTATATCTTGCTTTAATTTTTCACTGCTCACATCATCCCTCAGTCTATGATTAACTGTTTAATATCTACACTATCCTGTGAGTCAATAATGTGAAATCAGCCAGTCTGTGTCTGTATTATACTTTACTTTTTATGTAGTGCTTTATGTTTTGTTATGTACTGTTTGCTTACTATATTGCTCTTTCGTTTGTGCAGTTTACTAACACCAACTTGTGTTTGTCTTTTTACTGATTCGTATATACATTGCTTTGTGTTTTTTTCTGCTGATGCTTCCTGTTTGCGCTGTCCCTCTGCTGCTGTAATTTCCCCGCTGTGGGATGAAGAAAGGATTATCTTATCTCATCTCATCTCATCTTATCTTACATGTTTCCAGACAATAGCTGACAGATTCCAAGACTGCATTTTGGTCAATGCGTTCCACCTCTCCACACAGACTGTTTACCTGCTGCTCAAATGTGATTGGTCAATACTACTCGTCTACAAATGACTACAAACAGAAAACACAGTAATTCCGATACCAAAAGCATGTCCTGTTACCTGGTGATTTTGGCTACACATTCAGACATGAGTTTACAGATATTATTAATGGACTTCAGTGGTTGAAAGGACAGATGCTGGGGTTTGGAAGGAGCGGACAAAGATTAGATGGTATCATGATTGTTACTGGTCATCAGAGGTACTTCAATACCATACTGATACAAGCTGGGCTATTGGCTATTTAAATTATGTAACTACTAACCACTGTTGTAAAATAAATGTAGTGTAGTGTGTTAACATGACACTGAATGAGAAATAAAGTAAGCTACACTAAAATGAAATGAACTGAAATGACTTTCAGCTCAGAGAGAATGAGTTAAGAGAAGAAATAAATGACGGTGAAACAAACAAAACGTTTTGTTTGGGTCGTTTGAGGACGTACTGGGTGTGAGCACGTCCTCCACTCCGGTGTACGAGGCAAACACCTGACCCATGAACTGTTGCTGCTGCTCCCTGAAGTTGTTCTGCAGGTAATCCGTCAGCATCACATACCCGGCCTGCTCCATGGTCAGCACCTCACAAAACACCTCCAACTGAGTACAGAGAGAGAGCCAGACAGACGGAGAGAGGAGAGATGATAGGTGAAGAGAGAGAGTAGCAAGTCAAACAAAGGGAAGAAAGACGTGTCTGTTGCATCTTCCCTGTTTCTATGCAGTTGCCAAAACAAACCCAAAACCGACGCGCACATGTGTGTGTGTGTGTGTGTGTGTGTGTGTGTGTGTGTGTGTGTGTGTGTGTGTGTGTGTAAGAGGCTTGTGCTGGTGCCAGGCAGAGGCAGAGAGACAGCACTGCTCTATTTTTGGTTAGCTACGATGTGCACATGTCATGCCTTGCCACCCCCGTTTCAATCATGCAAACACAGACAAACACAAGCACACACAAACCCACAAGCACATATAATACACACAAAACCACTTTCATGACCTCATTCACTCGCCACTGTTCTGCTACATAATTGATGATTATTACACAGATGATTTCATTCAAAGACGTTCCACAGAGGTTTTATAACGTCGTCACCCTGGAATCAATCTGCAGTAACGTTACAGTTTCAGCTTGTGTTGTCGCTGCATGACAAGCCTTTGTTACAAAATCATACCACTACAGAAACCCTACTCTGAAAGTTCACATTTTGACTAAACATGTCACATTGCATCACTTCAGTGCAAGGTTTTGTTTTTATTTTGTGCACAGATGTCAAAGACAGCTGACCTGAAACCAGCCACTGACTACAACTAGACACAGCAACTACAGGCAGCAGTGATGTCAACTTAACAACAGATGTTTGTCTTTTTAAACTGAATACAAGCCAGTGTACATTGTAGTTATTTCAAATATAAAGCATTGAAAATTTGTATCATAAAGCTCCAAGGCTTTCATCAGACACAATGATAAATCAATTTAGCAGTTGAAGCCGCTGTCATTGATTTCAAAAGAGGCTTTTCCTTCATGACTGTCGGCCGTGCTAGAGTATCCTTAAAGAGTAGATGAAACACTTAACAGTATGATTGTGGTTCCTTTGATTTTTACCTTGGGCAAGATATGGCACTGCAATTGAACTTAATATCCACCTAGATTTGCAAGGATTTTACGTTTTTGCCAACTTGGTGCAGCCATCTTACAACAAGCTAGTTGGTGACATCACAAGAATAGTTCTCCTTTTTTTTTAACTGCTTATAGAAGTTGTTAAACTAGGCTTGGTGAACTTGGTATTGTAAAGCATATTTTGTTCTTTGATGGCTTTTTTGTAAAATATATTTAGTCTTATTGGCTCAAAAAGCATTTGCATTTGGTTTTTAACTTTGTCCCTGGGTCTTTGTATCTCATCTTAACTCTTAAACTCCACTGTATCAACACTTATTAAGTTAGAAACTAGTTAAACTAGGAGGTACAGTGCGGTACTTAGCATTCCTAGTAAACAACCATTCTCATGACACCACCAACTAGCTTGTTGTAAGATGGCTGCGCCCTGCTGGGGAAAAAGTGAAAAACTATTTGGTTTTCTAGCAAATCTAGATGGCTATCAAGTTTGGTTGTAGTGACATTCTTGGTAAGGTATAAGTCAAACAAACCAGTCATATAGTTCAGTGTTTCATCACCATTTTAAAGGTATTCAGGGTTAAAAGAGTGAATGAGAAATAGTGTTACTCAAAGTCTTTATTCTAGGACTTTTTTTGTTCAGAAAAAAAAGCATTGATTACGGTGTGTGTGTGTGTATGTGTGTGTGTGTGTGTGTGTGTGTGTGTGTGTGTGATAAAACCTACTGACCTGTGTCTCAGATATGGCCACAGTGTGTTTAAAGATGATCCATTCCACCGTTTCCGAGCAGGGAGGAGCAGTTAGTGAGCCGTTGTAGATGTAATATTTATCTGTGTTATTAGGCAGCAAGGACCTTAAGGTGAAAGCTTCTATCGACCCGCTCTTACCTGGTTAAAAAAAAAAAAAAAGTCTCATCAGTGACAAAATGTCACAACATTAACAAATGTTTTGCCCCAAGCTGTAAGATCACCTGGGACAAAGCATTTTAAAAATGTCACTGTATGTTAAGTCTATGATGTGCATCATGATATCGTTCATAAGCAGTCAGCGACCCTTTGTAGTTTAATCATGTGAGAGAGAAAAGCACATTTTTTTGTGCATTTTTCATTATCATTATTTGACTTCCTCAAACAATAATAATATTATAATAACATGTCTTATTTGTATAGCACATATCTAAACAAGGTTACAAAGTGCTTCACAGAGTGCATGAAAATAAGGCAAGAATAACAATACAATATTTAAAAGAATGTTGAGAGCTGAGAAGAATAGTGTGTACAGTGGCAAAAACAGAACAAAGGGAAATAAAACACAAAAGTTACAAATCAAAAAGTACAAATCAGACATTTAAATGGAAAGCTTTCCTTTAAAAATATCTTTTAAGCAATGATTTAAAAACAGGTAATGTGCTAGTCAGCCTGATCTCCTCAGGCAGAGAATTCCAGAGTTTTAGGGCCCTGATGGCAGAAGCCATCAACACTTGTCTGGTATAATTACACTAAAACTACAATTTATTTTGCGTCAAGGAAATTTAGTTCTGTTGATAATAGGGATGTCAGGATATGAGATTTTGACATCATAATTATTGTCCGAGGAAATATTATAGTTTTCACAATTATCAATCAGGGAATTTATTACTTGACACTATGTAAGTAAAAAAAGACATCAATAACACATTTATTATTTCCACTTCTTATAGTGTAATGTTTGGTTACTTAAAAATCATTTATAGTGGTTAAATGGGAATAGACTACCCTGAACAAAGGTTACACAGACAGAGAGGGAATGACAGTCACAGTCCTCCTTAGTTGGTGCTATGGTATCCCCGCAGGATTCTGAAAGTAAATAGTAGCACGTTGTGAACTACTTTCAGAGAGTTTTAACTGTTTTGGTTGATCTTTGCATGATAAATAGTTAAGTATTTTTTACTTTAACTTGGGCATACAAGGGTTTGAAGATGGAACATATTGGAAGTGTTGTACCCACTTGCCAACTTTTCAACGGCAAATTGGATATATATCTTCTACTCTCTGGTCATTTTGTTGATATCCAATATGCTCCCACACTGCTGATTTAAGGGGCTCTTATTTGGCAGATATAAGGCTGGGATGTCAGTTTCCTGTTAAATTTTTACAGCCCTTCTTCTCAACCCTTCAGGTAAGTGGCACACACAAAACAAAGCAAAGCACACACACGTTATTTGACTCGCAAAAGTAGATTTCATAGGGCAACAACGCAGCAATACGAACACTTTAGATATCGTAGCTTCTAGAATTCTTACGTTTATGAAACTGGGATGTTATGTATCCACAGTTGAGGCAAAATCAGTTGATTTTGACATTCGTTTCCCCAGTGGTGACCCAGATATAGTACAGTATGTAGAAGTGACTTACCAAACCTGCTGACCGTGTTGACGGCTTCTATTACAGGAATGAAGTTCTCGCTGTCTTCCAATCCGATCTGTGGAAAAGAATATGAGCTTCTATTGAAGACAAATATTCACCTTTAATCTAATCACTTTAATTTTTGTTATTTGAAGAGGAACAGGCTGATCTCTAACGCTAGGGCAAACCAACCTACCTCAAAGAGCACGACTAAGGCAGAGATCCTCCCTCCTTCCCTAATAGCATCATCCAGACTTTGAAAGTCATCTGGATCATAACTGTAGATCTGCATCTGAAAGAGAGCAAGAAACAGGCAGGTTAGCTGACCTCAGGCTTGAATGGTAGACAAATGTGTACACAATAAATGTATTGATGATGGACAAACAGATGCTGTGTATATATGTTACCTCCAGAGGGTATTTCATCCCGTTCAGGCTGTGTTCAGACCCGTCTGATGTTGCATTGCAGCGCCCCCAGTGGAAGGTGATCCTACCAACACGGAACCTGGAGCTCAGCCCTCCTCCACTGACGAAGAACTCCCCCTCCACACTGATGGACACTAAGACACACACACATTCACTTAGTTTAAACTTTCTGTCAACTGCTCTGCAGTAACAGAGCAAAAACGGGAAATGCAAATGCTGAGTTTTACTGAAGACTGTCAGGGTCAAACTTTTCCGACAACAGGCTTAATCAGGAGTACGATTGAGGGCTTTGCTTGACTGACAAGACTTTCTATCCCCAATATTCAGCTGTGGCAGTTGCTGCTTGTCCACCAGGCTCCCAAGCTTTGTCCAAATTTTTAATTTTCTGGCTCTGAGCAACTGGCAAGATGGTGGAAAGTGGTAACTTTAAGCCTCAAAATATTTCATCATTTCTTCAGTGATGGCATGGACGCAAAATCCTTGTTTTTTTACGATGAAAAGGACACAACAGTTTCTGGCTGCTACAACTTGGATAGCTCATGTGTTCATGTATTGAATGTTGATATCCTGGAGTATTAGCAAAGTATTCTGGCTTTTGACATTCATCACATCAGTAAAAATGAACATAAATATTCCTAATAATAGCAGGGTTTTTTTTTGGCTACTTTGGAGTAACCAATATATAAACAAAACATTTACATATTCTGACCATATAAAGGCAACAGTTAGACCATGGTTCCTTATTTACACATCCAGCAGCTACAAAGCAACATTAGTATTCATTTAGAGTTGTGTTTCTGGCAACCTGACAGATGTAAGTTCAATATTCCCTTTCTTTTGGCTCTGTTTTGGTCTCCACAAACTCCTACAGGGAGTATCTGGCTCTTTGGCAGCCAAATGCTCCACTATGCTCACCAGCTACTAATTAACTGTCTGTTTACTGTCTAATGCTGGACAGGCAGAGTTTGTTTTTAGAGCTTCTTTGATGAAAACTGCCTGTTGTGTCCACCAAAAACAGATGAGAGCACTGAGTCTGAAATGAAACAGCAAAGATGCGTATCACAAAACCAAAACAATGCTGAAAGACACTCCAGGTAAAGGTAGGTACAGAATCAGGTGATAATTACCTATGAAATGTTTTTAAATTTTTAGGTTGATAGTGTCTCGTGGGTTTCTACTAGAACATGTTTACATGCTTTAATTCTCAGAAAAACACTTTTTTCCCCTCATACAGTCTGTGCTGGAACACCTGTATTCACCCTCTGTCTGTGATGCTCCGTTTTGGCACTGGTCTCTTAAAGCCCCTTCTGAAAAAGCCCAGTTTGCTCTGATTGGTCAGCGTTTGTGGGTCTGCCATATCTTTGAGTCTATCATCACTGCAGCCGGGAAATGACTATAACAGAATACAGCTGTACTTTCTATCCTGAAAAACTACCAATAAGAGCTTCTAATCCGAAATCTGTACAACTGGACATGTTCCAGCAGGAATCTGATCCAAAGCTGGGGAGGAATTTACAACACTGGCAACCAAGATTACATGTTTCCCTGACATTAGCATGTAGCTACATTACGTATTGAAGGCTACATAATGCAGACATTTGCAGTAACAGGCCTGGAGCAGATAAGCATCTAAAGAAATCTGTCTTGAGCTGACGTTAGCTTGTCTTCATCATAGAAAAAAACAGTTGGAGACAGAGTATTCAGAGTGGTCTGATGCCTGACGTTTTGCTCATAGGGATTACTTTTATGCATGTTTACTTTATTATTTATATTTACCAATTCATCATTGTCACATCATACATATATGACAGAAAAGAATAAAAAGCATAATCAGTCCCCTTTAATGTAAATTGTGAAACAATCCTTCTTATATCAAAGCTGACAATTTCCCTAAGTCCACTTTACCTCTTCATAATTGCCTCTTGGAGCCACATATGAACTTCAAGTGAGCAATCTCACTGGTCTGTCACGATAATTACTTTTGTTAGATGATATATTGTCCCAGAAATAATTGCAATAAAGAACATAACTGTCATTTTGAGGCCATTTTATAGCCTCAAAGACTGCAGCTGCAGGCTATCTGTAAGATACACTTTGCTAGGACTCACAAAAGTAGGCGGGAGACGAGAGGAAAAAAGAGGATTTGTTGCACCTGAGTCTTATAATGATCAGGAAAACTTTGCTTTAAATTCTGGCATTATGCTGACTAAAATATGGGTGAAATTGTCATGTAAAAACACACACATGTAAACACAATAGGCAATATCAAGGTCAGCAAAATGATCGAGGTCATGTCCATATATATCATATGATAAGCCGATAATGTAACTATCCTTACAGAATATATTTGTTAAGCACAATATTCTCTGATGCTCGTTTTACTTTGTTAAAGGATAGCTCACGACAGGATGTAACAGAGTTTGGTGAGGCTGTGCAGGTCTCATGTTTCTCTCTTAATATCATGACAGCCTGCAATATCTGTTTAAATATGCAATTTCCTCTCTGACTGCACAGAGAAAAAGAGATTAATTTTAGGACCATTAACGTATAGGAGGCACGCACACACACACACAAAGCCCAGGCTGTATTGGAAAGATGGTGATGATAGCTCAGACAGCTTCCATTTGTTTAATATCAGGCCAGACATCACTCCACACGCTGCCTTTCCTCTCACTGTCTGTTCACGTCGTCCTCATTTTTCTCCCCTGCTCTGTCTCTCTCTTTCTCTCTGCACATTTTTTTCTTTTGCTCTTTATTTGTTGCCGCTTTTCTGTTGCTCAGTTTCATCTCCGCCTCTTGACATCGATCTTTCTCCCCATGATCTCTTGGTGCTGCTGTCCCTATGGTTGCCTCTCTCTCAATTACTTGGTCTCTCTCTCCTCTCTTTCATTGTCTCCTTTTAATCCTCGCTGCTCCTTTCTCTCATTAACCTCTGAGTTGTGAATCCTTCTTTTTTCTGCTTCTGGAAAGTTAAGCTTCTTTCCATATGTAGGGATTAAGATGTTGTGTTTTACAGCACTGGGATAATGTCAGAATCATTTCCATAGACCGAATCTACAACATACGGCACTACATTTTCTTCCTCTGGTTGCTGCTTTAATATGTGCTTGTCTGGGATTGAAAGAAAAAGAAATTGTCATTTTTCTACACAACTGAAACAGCTTGTTGTCATGGCTTCCACAGCTTGAACTGGACATATAAAGTTACAGTTGAGAAAAGGCCAAATAATGTTTAATATTCCTATAGATTTACTTCTCAAAGAACAAAACCAGGCTCTGCAAGAAAGATTAATAAACAGGAGTGGAAAAACATCACTTTACCTGTCTTCCCGTCATTGTGGATGGTGCTGGACTCTGCCGTCAGTTTGTTCCAGCCCTCTAACTGTAGATTCTGGTACTGCAGCCTGACTTGGGTAAAGGTCTCGTCGATGTCCACAGGAGACTGCCTAGCACTGTTACAGGCTGGGTACTTCTTACCCCAGTTGCGCTGGCTCAGGACACCTGTACACCAGAAAGAGAAAGAGTGGCTGATAAATGAGGAGGCAAACAAGTTCAGGGTCTACTGATCTGAAAATGTCAAACTCCCTGAGAGCTTGTTATAAAATCTCATTTTCATCTGCTGTCATCAGAAAATCTGGAAGCTCAGCAGTGTTTGGGCTTGAAACACAGCGTCCTCCTGCTTTGCCTCCAAATGTAGAATTCTGAGACTGAGACTTTAAATACAACTTAAATTCAGTCATGATTCATGGATGTCAAAATGCTCCACATAGCATCTTTAATATACATGTAAAATACATTTAGAAGTGTGTATTGCTGTTTAAAAACAGCGGGGCAACTGTTAAAGGAGTACAGCTCTAACGAGGGCAGATGGTCAAACTGTAGGTGAAACATGACTGGTTGGCCTCAGGTCACACTTGATCCTCACACTCTGAGTGTGAGTGGGCATTGTTAATGCATGAGTGCATGTCTCGTATACTGTGTTGCTTGTGAATTGTTTTTTTTTTTGAGGGGGGGTTGCACAGCATGAATTTTGGTTAAACTTATTGATGTGGTGTGTGTGTTTTAACAAGGCTGTGCTTTCCGTATGAATAATGTAACAGAATTCGAATAGCATCAGGACAAGCAGACATTTGCAGGCAAACATGCAACACAAAAAACCCAATCAAAATAGATTAAACAAGAAGCAGAAGTTACATTCTTCTCTTTCTGTGCTCAGAACACTTTCATTTAGCACAAATGCTCCGCTAAATATCACAAGCTCTGCCTCAAAATGATTGTGCATTGTTTATTTATGAGTGCATGTCTGAATCTAGAATTGGTGTTTAAATTTAAAGACGTGCAGCGTGTGAGTAAGTATATGTGTGATTTATTCATGACTTCTTGTCACACAATCTGCATTTGTACCTACTCACATGATGTGCGTATACTCTTATTAATTCCTAATTTATTTTTTGGAGCATACACATTCAGTACCTACACATTTTTTGACATGCAGTGTGTGCATGTATGTGTAAAATATTCAGTCATACGTCCAGTCATACTCTGAACTGCAGTATATATTTGTGTGCAAGCATGAACAGCTTCTTTGCACGAGTGACTGTGTTCATTTACTGTGCACGCATTAATCTGCTCTCAACATTCAATAATTTCCTTTAGGTACACTCAAAGAGGTCTCAGGGTAACCCTGCCTTAACTGCATTAATTACGCCAACTAATAATTCTGAGTTAGTCATAGTAGAGAAAAAAATCGAAGTATATTACAGCATAAATATTAGGATACACTACTTCGCAATATGATAAAGAATTTGGTTTGATTTCATGGGGGGAAAAGCTGTGCTCATTGCTTAATATTTGAAGAAACAGTCACTGCATATCATCATAAAAGTTTTATTTTCATGCACAAGGGTCTTCTATCTAACTCAATGTCACATTTGTTTGGATGGAATAAATTCCTAATATCTACTTTATTTGTGCAGAGCAAAGACTCACTGAATACTGGAAATGCATCATTAGCTGTTTCTTATGCAGTGCTTTGTGTATGTGTGTGTGCTTCCCAGTATACAGTTAAGACAATGGGTCTAATGAGGTCAGAGCAGATGGTTTAACTGTAACTGGTCACACATGACTAAACAGGTACTAGCTTTGCATTCTTTGTTGTGTGTCTCATGCGTGTGTGAGGGAGAGAGAGAGATTGTTTAACCCAAGTTCACCTAAATCAATTACATCTTCGATGTATTGCTGCTCGGTTTGACAGCTACAGTTGGAACTGTAGAGATAGCCTGAGGATGGTGAACATGTCGGGGAGGTTCACTGTTCCTCCCGTAATTCCTCCTGTAATACTGTGGCTTCTAGACACAGTTGGAGTGACATTTCAGTATTATATCTTGTTAAAAACCCTAATGACAACCATTAGAGGGTATTCATACAACAATCTTAACCAACCTGTCATGAGTCATGGATTATAGTCCAAACCATGCACATATTAGACACCAGTAGGATTATTGTTAAGATCGTTTTTCTAAGCCCCCTAGAGATCCAAACAATAATAACAACCACAAAATTATACTACACCATTACATTAGAACCACAGTAATCTTGTACAATATCTTGGACACAAACAACAGACTACACAGACGCGACAGAGAGTGAGGAAGAGACAGCGAAACCAGACGAAATGGTGCTACTCATAAGCAGCTGTTAGCCCAACAGAAAAAAAGGAGACCTGTGTTTCCTGTGAGGAAATGTCTATTGACAGAGAGAACTTCATCAGAAGCATTTGTAACATTTTTCAGCTGTTTGTCAGCTGTCACATTTCCACAGTCACAGACTACAGTACACAGTGGCACTGCCATGTTTACTACAGCCTCCTGTTAATAACAGTGTGTTGAAGTGAACTACAGAGAGCACACCTACGGGCTGTCAATCATGTTGCCTTAAAATGGCATCTTCGACCATTACATGCTTTTTAAAGTTATTTAGTTAGTTGTGAACCCTTGAGTGAGCCAGGCTAGCTGTCTACCCCTGCTTTCGCTTTAATGCTAAGCTAAGCTATTTGACTCCTGGTCCTAATACAACATAATACATATGCCTAAGATGTGACACTTCACACAGACGGGGCAGATTGGGGTTATTATCTGCTACACAGAGTCATCTTTGTAAAATGTGGTTGCCTGCCAGCTCACCATGTGTGTATTGAATTTTGCCAAGTGATAATTGAGTTGGTTATGCAGGGTTTGGAAGCCTAGGCTATAGTAACTGGTACTGAATCAATCATCCCGATCGTTTTAACAACAGTATGCATTGATGCGATTGATTTATTTTAATGTGAAATGTAAAAACACACTGCTCTGCTTCACACTGCCTCTGATTTTTATCACAGTTCTAAGTAGTTTTTTGAACGTGTAGAGATAAACAAGAATGATATTATTGCCTTGCAATTGTTTGCCTATGTGCACAAGTCAAGTTGTCCTTACAGTTTACATCTACGTCTGTGACAACATGAATACTTCACACACATCTTCAACCCAGCAGCAACAAAGGTCAATACAATCAGCACACTGTCAAGGTGGACACTCAAGATTAGTGTCACCAATTCAGTATCTGACTAAATGTAACCACTTATGTTCCTGAGTTATACTGTTGAATAATGGCCAGACGTGTTATATGCAGAACATTATGATGACACTGTGAAGTTATGTATGGGATATAAAATGTCACCATCATTTTATTCTATTAAACATTTCTGTGCTATTTTTTATTATAATCACTCTATGATTCCTGTTTTCTTCATGTTTTGACCTTTAACCACCAAATTCTAATCAGTTTATTGTTGAGTCCAAGTGGATATTTGTGCCAAATTTGAGGATACTCCCTAAACGCTGTCATGAGATATCGCGTTCACAAAAATGAGACAGACAAGGTCACAGTTATCTAATCTGTTCATCGGTGAGTCAAAGTCGACATTTGTGTCATATCTGAAGAAATTCTCTCAAGGTGTTCCTGAGATATTGTGTTGACGAGATTGAGAAAGTCAAAAGTCAAAGTGACTTTGACCTTTGACCACCAAAATCTAATCAGTCCATCTTTGACTCAAACTGGACACCCATGCAAATTTGAAAAAATCTTTCAAGGCGTTCTTCAGATATCACATTGAGGAGAAAGGATGTAAGGACAAGCCGGCATAAAAACAATAGACCAGCTGTCTAAAACTAGGGTTGAACCACGAGGTGCCTGCGTGGGCAAATGTGGCTTCTGTGGTTAGTGTCGCAGCTCCATCTTCGTCGCGCCGCATCCATGCTATCTGTATCTGCCATAACTGCGCAGATAACGTAGAGACAATAGAGCTGTTGCTCAACATTTTATTGAAATTATGTTGAAGGTGACTGAAGCTTAATGTTACAATTAAAGATAAAAAACAGAATTGAACATCTTGCCAGTACCACAACTACTGGTATGTTCCACAGTATCTGACCTATATTTTGCATTTTATGAGTGTTATTGTACATGTGAGTGTGTGTGTGTGTGTGTGTGTGTGTGTGTGTGTGCCGGGGGAAATGACAGAGGGTTGTCAATGTGTCAGTGACCACATCTGGCCCCTGCAGCTGCATTCGTCAGCATAATAATATACACACAAACGCACATACCGAGTTACTCTTCTGACATAACGCTACCATGGCAACAAGTAGCTGACAGTTGGAGAAAGGAATAAAAAAATTTGCCTGAAGCTAAACTTTCCTGTCTTCTTTTAAATCCATAAACACACAAATGCATGCACACCCACCTGCATCCAGTCAAGGAGTAAAAATTAGATGGTTAACTATGGAAATTACATTTCATATCTCTGAGTCCCACTTGCTTTTTCACTGTATTCCCAGAATAAAGTCTGCTGATGCTGCCAGTGTACCTACTGTTGTCAAATCCACACGGGAGACTTTTGAAGCTGAGACTCTGCAATTGTGATGAAAAATTGTAATCAGTATTATAATTTATTTCTCTTTGCTTTTGTCCTCTCACCCTATCTCTGTGTCTGCATCTAAATGGCAAATCAATTTAAAACACACAAAAAAATACAAGAAAAGGATAGATAACATCACAAACAATAAAATACAGATTTCAAATTTTGCAAGAAGAAACTGTATTTTGTGTTCAGCCATCTGGAATTTAATTTATGCTCCTTAAGAAAGCTGACAAGATGAAAATAACCCAATATTACATGATGATGTGTTTTAAAATGTACATTTAATACATTTTGATCTCTGAAATAAAGCTAACATTGCAAAAGACTAAAGAGTAAAGACGCCTGTGAACTTTCTGAAGAAACTTTGTGCTCTGCAGCAGCTCACAGAGCAGTCAGCTGTTAAAGTGGTCAAGACAGAAACCATTTACACCTGCTGCTGCTCTTTTTACCACAACACCAAGATCATTTCAGCTCACCCCTCACTCTCAAGGGAGCAGAGGTGAGACGAAAGAGCAGGAGTGCGTGCAGAGGACAAAAGAGAAGA